GTCAGCAGCAGCATACAGCCGTGGATGTGCGTGTGTGCGTGTGTTTGTCCGTGTGTCCATGTGGATGTTTTGAAAGCAGTGTGGGTGTTCCATTCCATGATGGTTCACACCTAACATCGTCCATGCTCGAGCCCGTTCCGTTCCACTTCTACAACTTTCTCCCAGCAAAATTGTACGCTGGCTGTGCTTTTGTGACCAGATGTAGGTTGATTGGATGCTTGTGTGTCACCTTCTCTTCAATAGGCTTCCATCCCATCCCATCCCATCCCATCCCATCCCATCCCATCCCATCCCATCCCATCCCATCCCATCCCATCCCATCCCATCCCATCCCATCCCATCCCATCCCATCCTCCCATCCCATCCCATCCCATCCTCCCATCCCATCCCATCCCATCCTCCCATCCCATCCCATCCCATCCTCCCATCCCATCCCATCCCATCCTCCCATCCCATCCCATCCCATCCTCCCATCCCCCATCCCATCCCATCCCATCCTCCCATCCCATCCCATCCCATCCTCCCATCCCATCCCATCCCATCCTCCCATCCCATCCCATCCCATCCTCCCATCCCATCCATCCCATCCTCCCATCCTCCCATCCCATCCCATCCTCCCATCCCATCCCATCCTCCCATCCCATCCCATCCATCCTCCCATCCCATCCTCCCATCCTCCCATCCCATCCCATCCCATCCTCCATCCCATCCCATCCCATCCTCCCATCCCATCCCATCCCATCCTCCCATCCCATCCCATCCCATCCTCCCATCCCATCCCATCCCATCCTCCCATCCCATCCCATCCCATCCTCCCATCCCATCCCATACCATCCTCCCATCCCATCCCATCCCATCCTCCCATCCCATCCCATCCCATCCTCCCATCCCATCCCATCCCATCCTCCCATCCCATCCATCCATCCTCCATCCCATCCATCCATCCTCCCATCCCATCCCATCCATCCTCCCATCCCATCCCATCCCATCCTCCCATCCCATCCCATCCCATCCCATCCTCCCATCCCATCCATCCCATCCTCCCATCCCATCCCATCCCATCCTCCCATCCCATCCCATCCCATCCCATCCTCCCATCCCATCCCATCCCATCCTCCCATCCCATCCCATCCCATCCCATCCTCCCATCCCATCCCATCCCATCCTCCCATCCCATCCCATCCCATCCCATCCTCCCATCCCATCCCATCCCATCCTCCCATCCCATCCCATCCCATCCCATCCTCCCATCCCATCCCATCCCATCCTCCCATCCCATCCCATGCCATCCTCCCATCCCATCGCATGCCATCCTCCCATCCCATCCCATGCCATCCTCCCATCCCATCCCATCCCATCCTCCCATCCCATCCCATCCCATCCTCCCATCCCATCCCATCCCATCCTCCCATCCCATCCCATCCCATCCCATCCTCCCATCCCATCCCATCCCATCCTCCCATCCCATCCCATCCCATCCCATCCTCCCATCCCATCCCATCCCATCCTCCCATCCCATCCCATCCCATCCCATCCTCCCATCCCATCCCATCCCATCCTCCCATCCCATCCCATCCCATCCTCCCATCCCATCCCATCCCATCCTCCCATCCCATCCCATCCCATCCTCCCATCCCATCCCATCCCATCCTCCCATCCCATCCCATCCCATCCTCCCATCCCATCCCATCCCATCCTCCCATCCCATCCCATCCCATCCTCCCATCCCATCCCATCCCATCCTCCCATCCCATCCCATCCCATCCCATCCTCCCATCCCATCCCATCCCATCCTCCCATCCCATCCCATCCCATCCCATCCTCCCATCCCATCCCATCCCATCCTCCCATCCCATCCCATCCCATCCATCCTCCCATCCCATCCCATCCCATCCTCCCATCCCATCCCATGCCATCCTCCCATCCCATCGCATGCCATCCTCCCATCCCATCCCATGCCATCCTCCCATCCCATCCCATCCCATCCTCCCATCCCATCCCATCCCATCCTCCCATCCCATCCCATCCCATCCTCCCATCCCATCCCATCCCATCCTCCCATCCCATCCCATCCATCCCATCCTCCCATCCCATCCCATCCCATCCTCCCATCCCATCCCATCCCATCCCATCCTCCCATCCCATCCCATCCCATCCTCCCATCCCATCCCATCCCATCCCATCCTCCCATCCCATCCCATCCCATCCTCCCATCCCATCCCATCCCATCCCATCCTCCCATCCCATCCCATCCCATCCTCCCATCCCATCCCATGCCATCCTCCCATCCCATCGCATGCCATCCTCCCATCCCATCCCATGCCATCCTCCCATCCCATCCCATCCCATCCTCCCATCCCATCCCATCCCATCCTCCCATCCCATCCCATCCCATCCTCCCATCCCATCCCATCCCATCCTCCCATCCCATCCCATCCCATCCTCCCATCCCATCCCATCCCATCCTCCCTTCCTCCCATCCCATCCCATCCTCCCATCCCATCCCATCCTCCCAATCCATCCCATCCTCCCATCCCATCCCATCCTCCCGTCCCATCCCATCCCATCCTCCCATCCCATCCCATCCCATCCTCCCATCCCATCCCATCCCAATCCTCCCATCCCATCCCATCCCATCCCATCCTCCCATCCCATCCCATCCCATCCTCCCATCCCATCCCATCCCATCCCATCCTCCCATCCCATCCCATCCTCCCATCCCATCCCATCCTCCCGTCCCATCCATCCCATCCTCCCATCCCATCCCATCCCATCCTCCCATCCCATCCCATCCCATCCTCCCATCCCATCCCATCCCATCCTCCCATCCCATCCCATCCCATCCTCCCATCCTCCCATCCCATCCCATCCTCCCATCCCATCCCATCCTCCCATCCCATCCCATCCTCCCATCCCATCCCATCCTCCCGTCCCATCCCATCCCATCCTCCCATCCCATCCCATCCCATCCCCCCATCCCATCCATCATCCCATCCCATCCTCCCATCCCATCCCATCCTCCCATCCTCCCATCCCATCCATCCCATCCCATCCCATCCCATCCCATCCTCCCATCCCATCCATCCCATCCTCCCATCCCATCCCATCCCATCCCATCCTCCCATCCCATCCCATCCCATCCTCCCATCCCATCCCATCCCATCCTCCCATCCTCCCATCCCATCCCATCCTCCCATCCCATCCCATCCTCCCATCCCATCCCATCCTCCCATCCCATCCCATCCTCCCCTCCCATCCCATCCCATCCTCCCATCCCATCCCATCCCATCCCATCCTCCCATCCCATCCCATCCCATCCTCCCATCCCATCCCATCCCATCCCATCCTCCCATCCCATCCCATCCCATCCTCCCATCCCATCCCATCCCATCCTCCCATCCTCCCATCCCATCCCATCCTCCCATCCCATCCCATCCTCCCATCCCATCCCATCCTCCCATCCCATCCCATCCTCCGTCCCATCCCATCCCATCTCCCATCCCATCCCATCCCATCCCATCCTCCCATCCCATCCCATCCCATCCTCCCATCCCATCCCATCCCATCCCATCCTCCATCCCATCCCATCCCATCCTCCCATCCCATCCATCCCATCCTCCCATCCCATCCCATCCCATGCCATCCTCCCATCCCATCCCATGCCATCCTCCCATCCCATCCCATCCATCCTCCCATCCCATGCCATCCTCCCATCCCATCCCATCCTCCCATCCCATGCCATCCTCCCATCCCATCCCATCCTCCCGTCCCATCCCATCCCATCCTCCCATCCCATCCCATCCCATCCCATCCTCCCATCCCATCCCATCCCATCCTCCCATCCCATCCCAATCCCATCCCATCCTCCCATCCATCCCATCCCATCCTCCCATCCATCCCATCCCATCCTCCCATCCTCCCATCCCATCCCATCCTCCCATCCCATCCCATCCTCCATCCCATCCCATCCTCCCATCCCATCCCATCCTCCATCCCATCCCATCCATCCTCCATCCCATCCCATCCTCCCATCCCATCCCATCCCATCCTCCCATCCCATCCCATCCCATCCCATCCTCACCATCCCATCCCATCCCATCCTCCCATCCCATCCATCCCATCCTCCCATCCCATCCCATCCCATGCCATCCTCCCATCCCATCCCATGCCATCCTCCCATCCCATCCCATCCCATCCTCCCATCCCATGCCATCCTCCCATCCCATCCCATCCTCCCATCCCATGCCATCCTCCATCCCATCCCATCCTCCCATCCCATGCCATCCTCCCATCCCATCCCATCCTCCCATCCCATCCCATGCCATCCTCCCATCCCATCCCATCCCATCCTCCCATCCCATGCCATCCTCCCATCCCATCCCATCCTCCCATTCCCATGCCATCCTCCATCCCATCCCATCCTCCCATCCCATCCCATCCATCCATCCCATCCCATCCCATCCCATCCCATCCTCCCATCCCATCCATCCCATCCTCCATCCATCCCATCCCATCCCATCCTCCCATCCCATCCCATCCTCCCATCCCATCCCATCCCATCCTCCCATCCTCCCATCCCATCCCATCCTCCCATCCCATCCCATCCTCCCATCCCATCCCATCCTCCCATCCCATCCCATCCTCCCGTCCCATCCCATCCCATCCTCCCATCCCATCCCATCCCATCCCATCCTCCCATCCCATCCCATCCCATCCTCCCATCCCATCCCATCCCATCCCATCCTCCCATCCCATCCCATCCCATCCTCCCATCCCATCCCATCCCATCCTCCCATCCTCCCATCCCATCCCATCCTCCCATCCCATCCCATCCTCCCATCCCATCCCATCCTCCCATCCCATCCCATCCTCCCGTCCCATCCCATCCCATCCTCCCATCCCATCCCATCCCATCCCATCCTCCCATCCCATCCCATCCCATCCTCATCCCATCCATCCCATCCCATCCCATCCATCCTCCCATCCCATCCCATCCCCCC